GGCTAGAAGATGTTATGGATGTGAAGATTCTTACATAAATTGGGCTTGAAACAGAGAGGTATGTTCTTCATTGCGATGGTCAAAGTGCAATTCCACTAGAATAAGAATTCTACTTTCCATTCAAGATCCAAACATATAATGTGCGATATCATTGGATACATGATGTTTTTGGAATTGAAATTGTTTCATCATGTGAAAATCCATACCAATGATAATGCATCGGATATGATGACGAAGGCCTTACCCAAAGACAAGCATGAGAAGTGTAGTGTTTCAGCGGGTTTGGTCGAGTCCTCCGCATAATCTGGAGGGGGAGATTTGTTGGTGTCCCTTTTTATGCCTTCTCATTGACCCAACCCTCTCAAATTAAAGACATGTGCATGTGTGCATTGGAACTATGCATTGGAAAAGTCTAGCACAAGCCAAGAATTGAAGACCTTTTGTCTTCCAAGTTGCCTGACCGGTTTTACACTTTGAGTGGGAAAAATCTGTAGAAAATATTGAGAGTGGACAGCTTATTTTGTGAGAGAAAAGTGGAAGACAATAGCCCCCTTCCTGCTCTTGTTCAAGACTCATTTTTACTCCGATTGAGCTGAAAATTCAGGGACATATTCCTCACTTCCACAGCTAGTTTCTACTGTTTTGGGTCGTCAATCGGACTCTTCTACAGCTAGATTTCAATGACAGAAGTTTAACCACTTCGGTGAGATTTTTCTAGTTGCTTTGTGTTAAAATTCATATGAGGGTGAAGTTTTTATATTTTGAAAGCCAAGGAAATATTTTTCTCTTGATGTTTGATATTTCTAATTGTGACTAGAAGACTTGGAATCCCACTTTCGTTGATAGTGGAGAGATTGGACCAAGTTTGGTCCCGTGGTTTTTTTCCCTCGCCTTGAAGGGTTTCACGTTAAAAATTCTTGTGTTTCTTGTTATTGGTTTGGTTTGTTTATTGTGGTTGTTTGTAGTATTGTTATTCTCTATTGATTTGCACATTGAGAGAAAGTCACAAGTTTTCCTTGGAGGGAGGGGAGAAACTTGATGAAGTATGAACTAGGAACATTTAAAACCTGCATGCCTAATCATATGACAAATCAAGACGGATCAAAATGTCTGTATAGAAGATATTTTAATGTAAATTGTGGATTGACAAGAAAAAAAAAGCAGCACAGATTTTACCATACCTTGGGCTTTGTCACAGTAAAATTCATTGTTTCTGTCAACTAGGCATAGCCCTCCTTCAAGTTTACACTTAGAACACTTATCAGAAACATGCAATTGAAAATAGAATTCGTAAGTTAATACTGCAAACGGATCACTGTAATTTGGATTAGAGTTGGGTTCTAACCCATTTTGTGGCAGCAGTAAAACTGAACAATGAGGTGGAGGAATCAAGCCAGGCATAGATGGATATGTGTAGTAGATAGAGAATTCAGGACAGCCTTTGTAACTGTAAGAACTGTTGAAATATTTATCTGCCTGCCGGGAAAGTTCATGACTATTGGTGCATTTGAAAAAGGTGAGATTGGGGGAGATTGTAAACGAAAGAGAAGGAGAGTTGGGAGAGTGAGATTATTGAAAGAATCACAACTTCGGTACTTTAAGAGATGTTCGCGCGCTTGGTCAATAACTAGAATGCTTTTACTTTGCAAGATTCTTCGAGCTTGATACCATTCTCCATTCTTCTCCAGTTGGACAGTTGGAACTAGTTTATCACAATCTAACATGCATAACCCGCAATCAGGTTGCTTGAAATTGGTGAAAGGGAAGCTAATCAAACCAAGAGATCCACACTGGAATGACACTGGACAACCATGGAGGATTGGTTCATTTCTTGAGCTGAGGGAAGGAGCACAAGATGAGAGAGAATAAAGAAAGCGAAAAAGCTGCAGGAGCTGACCATACTGAATCCACTGTAAAGAAATACTGTTGTCAACAAGAACCAACACAAAGAGGAATTAGACTCTTATGTTGTAAAGACCCCAATTAGTATCCTTTTGATTTTGGTTTTGTTCTTCACAATATATTTTGACCTTCATCCTTCAAACACACCCATTGACAGTTGGGCTCTTCTGAATTATCAGTACGCATATTAATTGACGGAGTTTCCCACTCACCTACGAACATAAATGAACAGCTGTAGAAAGAATAGTCTTCTTCACTCTTTAAGAGGTATCTCTTGAAATTTGCAACCACTAGAAGAATAACACTCAAGTCTAGGAGGAAAACTACGGTACCAATTTACATAAATTGTACCAAAATTTACTATTTTTTGAAGTCAAATTAAAAGATCGAAAGATCGAAGTATAACTGAAAAAATAATAAAAATCACAACTTGTAAAGTTATTATTTTTTGAGTTCAAGTTACATTTTTTAAATCTGAAATTATAATTAATTAGAAGTGTTTGTGATCGATCAAATTACCTCAAATAGTTGTAAACGCAATTTTTTTCGATACCATATAATTATCCCAAGTCTAGAGCCATTGAATTTCTTAAAGGTCAATTGTAATGTTTTTTTTTTTACTTTTGAAGTTCACGAGAGAGAGAGAGAGAGAGAGAGAGGAGAGAAGAACTTACTAGCTGCTGCAATACCGTGCATGAGGCCTATCGGGAGGGTAACACCTGAAATGGTAGCTAATCAGATCAAAACCACAACGCCCACCACTTTCCTCTCACAAACTGCAATCAGCAACTGCCCACTTCAACAAAGCCTTTTCTCAGCAGCCCTACATAGTCCCCAAATCCATAGCTTCCACCACGCACTTCCACTGGCGCCACCACCTCCGTGCCACACTCTTTCAATGCCAAACTCAGATTCCGCTTATCCTGAAACATAGCTAGTTCCCACCCACTTCCATTCCCAGCATCACAATTGATCATATTGACACTGTACCTGTAAAAAAAATTGTTTCACGCAGATGTAAAACTGAACAGGTTAGAACAAATCAACTTTCAGAATAAAACAAAGTTAGAACAAAAGTCGGCACATGAGGTGAACAACTACATGACGAATAAGTGACTTACCTACATTTGTTCTATCGGGTGAAATTGACGAAATGACTTAAAAAATTAAAAGTTTAGGGACCATTTTAAAATAGAAAGCAAAGTTTAGAATTCCTAACAGTACCTCAAAAGTTCTTCTGGAAATGGCAACGAACAATTTGATAGTAAAGCCAGGTTTGTAACATTATTATCAAACTGGAACCGATCATCTTCAAGTATTGTATCAGCTAGTTGAGGAAGGCAGCCGAAATTTGAACCGCACACTGCAGCGTTGCATACGCTAAGAGAGTGGGTGCTGTAAAGAATTTCTTTTACGATGTAGTCATTTATGGTATATGAAATATTGGGTAGCCATTGTTGCTGCAAGTGAGGTCGAATCCAGGGTATCCACAAAATGGTTTTTGCAGACCCTTAATATAGAAGGGGTAGCTTATGTTTAGGCCATCCCCACAGTGTTCAGGCACACAGGCTTCATATTGGCTGTCTACACAAAAAGATTTTCTGGTAAGAGGATGAAAATAAGTATGCAAATATTTAAGGCTGGTATGAGGGTGGAGAAGCTGTGTTGCTTCATTTGGGTAATCTTGAAGTTTTGTGGGACATAGAGAGATAATGAAGATGATCTAATTCAAGGTACAGATGCACAGAGAGAGAGAGAGAGAGAGAGGAGAGAGTTTTTTTTTTTTTTTTGACCCAAGAGGAGAGAGAGTTGAGTAGAGAGAAAAAGCACGACTTATAAAGCACAAAAATAGTTAAAATTTATCTAATCAAAGTAAAATTTCATACTATAATAGATGCTCTTCAGTTATTTTAAAATAAATTATTGTTAGAGTATCACTGTAATAATTTATAAACATATTTTATATTATATTTTCTCTTTTCCTCTCCTTTCTTCCATTTTCTCTCTTTCTCTTTTTTATTATTCCCAAAAATAATAATAAAAAGGAATGAGAAATAATATTTGAAAGGAGTAGTTAAAAATATAGAAAATTTGTTGGAGTATATATTGAAAAAGTGAGTAGTTAAAATAGAAAAAATTATTTTTTGAGTAGCTAAAATACAATTTGTTCTTTGAGATGCCCTTGGGTTGTTTGGTTAGCTGAACAAAATGGATTGAACAAAAAATGGGTTGTTTGGAAGCCGGTACATCTAATTAGACTTATTTATCAAAAAGTACATAAAACAAAATGTGAGTTAAAAAGACATAAATGCTCATTTTAAGGTCATTTAATTCAAAATCTCTTATCTTTAATGCATCTTGATTCATGTGTGTTTGTTAGTGCATTAAATACGTATTTATATGTATTAACAAACACACATGAATCAAGGTGCATTAAATATAAAAAATTTTGAATTAAATGACCCTAAAATGAGCATTTATGTCTTTTTAACTCACATTTTGTTCTATATGTATTTTTTTTCAAATAAGTCTAATAAAGTGTACCGTCTTCCAAAGAACCCTTTTAAATTGAAGACTTAAGAGGGTTGCATTGAAAAAGATGAGATTGGGTCAATTTTATATTGGAATATACTACATAACCCAAATAAAATTTAAAAGTTATAATTCAAATGCATATCATTCTTTAGATGAATGTGAAATGAGTGGGCCCTATTAAAAAAATTGAAATGACTCACTCATCTGAGAAATAATATGTATTTAGGTTACAATTTTTTAGATTTTATAGCATTACTCTTTTAAATTTGAGATTTGGTTTGCACAAGATAAAAAAAATGGAATTAATTTTTATTTATCTAGAATACCCTTCTCTCTTTATGTTTATATACATAAACATTTATAGGTATATTATCCATTTATATTTTTTGATGGTGGTGATAATAATAGTAACTACTATAGCAATAATTATTTATTTATTTGGCTACAGTGGAATTATCACTCTCACCGGTTATGGTGACGACGATTGTTGTGGTACATATATAGGCTAGGGTGGAGTTGGTGGAAGGAATGGCTGGCGTGAGATGTTTGAAAATTAAACTTGGTGAATATGTGATGAAGGTATTTTTTGCCTTTCTGAACCATTTTTTCATTCCTTCACTTTGAATCTCACTCTCCCTAATCCGATTCCATTATACCCCACATGGGTTGCTAAGTTGATTGATGAGGTGAGGTCGGGTTTAATTTTTTGAAATAATACCAAACTGTTTCTCACATGCAAACATAAGATATTCTAAAATTATTTTCATTTTATTGAATAATAAATCAACAAACAAACGGCCCCTGGAGTTTGCTTGACTAGATACATGAAGTCAATGCCTTATAAAAAATGTGTTGGCTGTCCAATTCTGGCTCCATCCAGTTCAAAAAAGAAAAAAGAATACTTGACCTTCAAGATTGATGATCATACAAACACACTAAATTACAATGCAGACTGACAATAAGAGGTTGATTCTATAGTTGAAAAATCTGCTGGTGGTCTTGAGGGAGAAGACAAAAAAGGCTTGGGAGGAATTTGCAAGGAGTCTAAACTCCCTTCTAACATTTCCACAACTCTAGTCATCGATGGCTGATTTGAGTGATCAGTTTGTATGCACCACAAACTCACTATTATCATCTTCCTAGCACTTCTTTTTTCCTCATCATTTATAATATCCCGCAATCCAATGTATCCATCTACTTCGAGTTCTTTGTATATCCAATCAAGAAAGTAAATTTCACTGGCTCCCCCAACAACCTCAATGTTTTTTCTCCCTCTAACCATTTCTAGAACCATCATTCCATAGCTATACACATCTGACTTGTAAGAGACTGCTCCAATGTATCTACAAAATACTTCTGGAGCAATATACCCAACTGTCCCTCTGGCAGTCACCATGGATATGATACTCTCGTTTCTGGGGCATAGTTTAGCAAGACCAAAGTCAGAGATCTTTGGGCAGAAGTCTTCATCTAGAAGAATGTTATGAGGCTTTATATCAAAATGCAAGACTCGTGTGTTACAACCATGATGTAAGTACTCAAGTCCACGAGCAATGCCTATTGCAATTTGGTACAATTTCTCCCGTCCCAGTTGACGATCTGGCATGGAACTTCCATCACATATGAATTTCTCAAGGGATCCATTAGGCATGACCTCATAGATGAGAGCTCTTTTGCGACCCTCAAAACAAAATCCCAGGAGAGTTACAATGTTAACATGTGAAGTCCTACTAATACTTACAACCTCATTAATGAATTCTTCTCCAGAACCTTTTGATTCACTTAAAACTTTCACTGCCACCAGACTGCCATCATGTAACTTGCCTCTGTACACAAGGCCAAAGCCTCCTTGACCCAGTTTAACTTTGAAGGAGTTGGTCATCTTCTTAACATCCAAATAACAGAATCTTTTTGGAGCCATGGATCCATATCTCTTTAGAAAGGCTTCTAAAATTTTGGAGTTCTTCGTTTTCTTCTTCAATAAGAACATAAGTTTACCTAGGGAGAATTTCCTTCTGAAGCAGAAGACTGTAGCTACTAAGATGCCAGTTCCAACAGCAGAAGCAGCTGCAATCACTGAAAGGAGAAAACAGCATTATGCAGTATAGGATAATAAATTTTCCAGTGTTGAAAAATCTGATGACAAAGGTACAAAGAATGCTTATAATATGCTTTGAACCCCAAAAATAAACACCCCATCCCCACCCCTTTTTTCTGTTTCTGCACCCCCTTGATCCATGCAACCACATAGGGCAGGTTGCCATTGTTGTCTGCTGATTTCTATATCTAATTGCTTTAATTTATGATTGTTCTAATGTCATCTTGTATGATTTATTGGTTGCTATTCCTGCGCCATTCTAGGAACCATATTCAAACTTCAATCAATATAAGTTTGATCCCTTTAAATTTTTCCTTAACTTGTGGTCCTAGGCAGGGTTTGATTGCGTTCTAGTGATATAGGTTTATAGAACGCCTAGTCCCCTCGATTTGTTCTGCTATATATTTGCTGAGAACAGAGATGGAGAACATAAAACTGGGAAAGCTCTACTTAAGAACGATTCAATAAGAATTGAAGAGGAATATTACCTGCGGCAAGAATTGATTTCCAGTGGGTTCTTCCTGCAACAATGTGAAGCCCAATAATAAGTTCAGTCATTCATAAGAATGAAATTGAAGTATGTTTTGCAGACTTGAAATCCTTTACTAAATATGAGCAGAAAACATTTAAAACCTGTCCAGGTTAGAAACCAATCCAAACGATCAAGAGTGAACAGATGGTTTTTTTTGGGGATCTGATGTGGACCAGCAAAGAGAGCAGCATGTATATTTAGATATGCAAATACCTTCTTTCAAGTTTGCACGTTGAAAATCTTGGTCATCGTTTTGGCATTTGCCTCCTTCAAGGCTATAGTTATGCAAATCAAATGATACACAGGTACAAGAGAAAAATTAGCAGCCGATAACGCAAACAGGTCATTGGCATCTAGGGACTTGTTTGGTGGTAGCATCGGCAGCTGAATAAGTGCACAGTCAAATGGAACGGTGGAAGACTGCTCGGAGACATAGCGTTACATATGAGCACTTATAGTAGACCCTACTGGCTGGACAGTGGTGATAAGTTAGGAATTATCCTGAAATAATCATCACTCTCTTGCTGCACGATAATCTCAGATCTATTGGTGCATAACAATGAGGTGAGATTTTACAAGATCATAAAAGGAAGTAAGAACGCTGGGGAGCCTCAGAACTATCGATGCATTTGTACAATGTGAGATTTCAGGAGATCATAAAGGAACTAGGAGAGTTGGGAAGGCTCAGATAATTGAAAGCTTCACAACTTTGTTTCTACATGTAAACTTGAAGCAGCAGGAATCTTTCGCTCTCTCTGTAGAGCTTTATTGCTCCCCCAGTGGTGACTATTCCCTCGAGTGAATACCCATATAGCCTCTATTCCACCACCCTCTACTGCAGACATCTTGCTCCCCCTTTGCCATGACCCTCTTCGCCTACACAGCTCCCCCTCCACAAACCTGGTAACCACCACTCTCTTCCCTGCTGCCTTGATATACGGCAATTTGACAACCCAACATTAAATTTTATTCCTGTCCAAATCCCACAGCCACCTGTCCGGTTCTTCCCTCCTCCCCACCCCTCACCCTTGATTCAAAATCTCCTAACATCCACGCCACTTACCAGCTGCATAATCTGTACAGCTGCGTGTCTTTAAGAGACTAGTTGTTGGATCCTTGTTATGCCCAGAATCTGATTGATCAATGCACAAATTGAGGGCCACGTGTTTGGGAGATTATGGTGTGTGTGTGCGCTTGTCTTGTACAGCAGATTTCTTAGACGCAAATTCCAATCTCATTGCTGCTGAATGTCGGTAGTAGGTACTCGTGCTTTACAGTTTGTCTCTTGGGTAAACGACTTGGTGCATTACAGTTGTAATGGGTCTTTTAACTGAGCTAGCCAGCACCTATTGACTCATGATTGTTTGCAAGATTCTTGCTAGATCTTGGTCATGCTTGAAGATGGGCCGACTCTTCATCCATTTTGTGTTTTTGACAGTAGTGAACAGAACAATATTTTTGGGGTGTGATAAATAGACTTGTGAGTTGAGCAATTCTCTAGTGAAAATTACTCTATGTGCCTTCTAGTAGGCTTGCCTTGAAGGTTATTGTGATGTCCTATTTTGTTGATATATTTTGTGGAGGTATCTCTTTAGAAACTCCTTTGTGTGCCCCCATGTCATATTTGAGCTTTATTGTATATCAATTTTTTGGATTAATCAAATTATTTACCTTTCGAAGAAACATATTTTTAACAAAATAATATTTCAAAATGAGTCTTATATCTTTTTCCTTGTAATTTTATATTGTTTCTCTCGCTAAAACAAATCAATCTGTTGCACTTTAGTCCTAAACTTTATGGGATGTGCATTCCTGAATTACAGAAAGGTTAAGTGTCACTCACTCAAACCACATGGAGATAAAATATAAATTATACTCAACAAAATAACATCTTAAGCTTTGATTTGAAGTCATGGTTACAAAGACAATAAGAAAAAGGGGGGAAGATCTTGATCAACTAATGGCATTGAATAGAAGAAACCTAAAGCATAAAGAAGAATTATGCAAGGGACAAATGGTTCAGGGACAAATAATAGGTGAAATGAAACTTTGACAAAGTATGAACAAGGAACATCTAAGACCTGCATGCCTAATAATCACAAATAAAAAGGATCAAAATATTATACGTAGAAGATGTTTACTGTGAGCTGTGGATATATAGAAAAAAAGCAGCACAAATGTGGCCATACCTTGGGCTTTGTCACAGTGAAATTTATTCTTGCTGTCAACTACACATAGCTCTCCTTCATGTTTACATTTAGAACACTTATCAGACCCAGGAAATTGAAGAGAGAATTCAGCAGTGAATAATGCAAATTGATCACTGTAATTTGGGTTCAAGTTGGGTTTGGACACCATCTGTGGGTGATGTAGAACTGAAGGATTAGGAGTCGTGATAGGATTAGATGGATATGTGTAGTATACGGAGAAGTCAAGAGAGTGTTTGTAACTGTAAGTACCATTGAGATATTCATCTACCTGCAAGGTATGTTTAGGACTATTGATGCATTTGAACAAGATGAGATTGGGGTTGGGGGAGATTGTAAATGAAATACGAGGGTAGTTGAGAGGAGTGACGTTATAGAAGTATGAGTTGGGAAGTGTGATATTATTGAAAAAATCACAACTTCGTGAATTTAAAAGCTGATCAAGCACTAGGTCACCAACTAAAATGCTATCAGTGATTTGCAAAATGCTTCTAGCTTCATACCATCGTCCATTCTTATCCAGTTGGACGGTTGGAAATGGCTTTTTATCACAATTTACCATGCACAAACCACAATCAGGTTGCTTGAAACTGGTGAAAGGGAAGCCAATCAGACTGAGAGATCCACATCGGAATGTCACTGGACACTCAAGGTAGGATTGGTTTTTTTCTTGACCTGAGGAAAGAAGCACCAGATGAGAGAGAACAAAGAAAACAAAAAAGAAGCAGGAGCTAACCATTTTAAATCCACTGTAAGAACAAACGCAATTATCAACCACCACTGCAACAAAGAGGTATATAACTCCTGTTATAAAGAGTCCAATGGAGGAAATTCCCACTCACCTTCCTCCTTGACCAGCAATAGGTAGTCCAGATTTCTTGACTCTTAAATGTCTTTGAACTTTCCAACCATTGACTGTCCAAAAAAAAAAAAGACTAAAGTAGTGACCAAATGATGTGACATTACCATAATTGTGTTGTTAGTTTCATTTTTATACATTTGAATTTCAAATGTGTTCTATTATGGTAATGCCACATCATTTAATCCATATTTTTTGTCCCCTTTTTTTTTTTTATCGGTGTAGCACTACTCTTAGGAAAATAAGCCATCTATTGCAGAAAATCTAGTCCAAAGGCTTGCAGTTTTTCAAAGGGTTAGTTAAATTTTTGGTAAATCACATCTAGACCCCTGTATTTGTCAATAACTCGTGCAGACACCTCAGGTAAGACAATTTACACCAATACCCATTGTGAGTTTTGTAAGAGTGTAAAACATACACCTCTATCGTTATGATCTGGTTGAGGCGCTGTTAAAATCATATTATCTCAACATAATTTTGAAATGAAATTCCCAATCCATCAGATAAAACTCACCAATTTTCATCCCCCACAAAACCACAGCTAAGCAAAATCCACCACAAAAACCATCAAACACCACGGCCGCCTCTATTATGCCATGTACATGATTGAACCATATCCACCAGTACCATAAGAGAGATCCCACAGTTTTTCCCATGTACTTTCAGAAACCACCACCACCACCACCAGCAACAGAAACCACCACTGTCAACTATGTTATTAATCACAAGTTGAACCAAAAAATAAAGCAATAACACAGACTAATCCAAAATTCCCAAGTTGAACTGGCACAGTCAACACATCAACAACAAACCTACAGAAAAAAATTCATCATAAATCACAGAATTAACACCAGTCACAGACCCCATAAACGATATCACTGGAAAATAATCATTTGAAACAATCAATTCACATGTCAACAGAAGCATTCCATCATGTATCAAGTGTCTTCACAAGGATTGATAGATCATTATCCTATGCTTCAGATTGTGACACATCATATCCAAACCAGCAACTGTGCACCTTCACGGATTGAGCCAAGCCTCAGCTCTGAGCTATTACTCTCAAAGAACACGTGAACACAACAGTAACAGAGGCACTAACCAACTGTAACAGACGCACTAACCAAATGTGCCAGCTGGAGTCTGTTAGGCAGCTGAACTAGATTAATCACATGGCAATAATTACTGTTATCTAATGTATGAATACAAAATGTATATCAAGTGAATAATGAGAATGAGAGCTGAGACTCTGTGTTTTTGGCTTCTGTTTGAGAGCAGCTCTTGCATGGTATCAGAGCCCTTAAGGAGAAACCTCCGTCTCTGCCATGACAAATTCCTCATCTTCTTCTTCCTCTACAGCTATGTCTAGTTTTCCTCAATCTCAAATCGTCTTACCATCGAATATCTGCAATCTTATATCACTGAGATTGGATTCCACGAATTGCATCCTAGGAAATACCAATTCTCAACAATTTTGAAAGCATGGAAATACCAACTCTCAACAATTTTGAAAGCACACTCTCTTCTAGGCTATATAGATGGAACAGCTCCTTGTCCAGCAAAGTTCATTGGCAATCAATCTGGCCAGATTACATCAGAAAACAGTGAAGAGTTTCTGAAATGGACTACTCAAGATCAAGCACTGATCAATGCAACTTTGTCTCACACAGCACTTTCCTATGTTGTTGCCTACTCAACCTCTCAAGAAGTCAAGGAAGGATCACTTGTCAAATTTGCTTCAAGAAAGGACTCTCAGCTGATTGCTATCACAGAATGGATTAAACTTATCAGAGTCGAGCTCCTCCATCCAAACTAACTGGTTCTGCGATGATTGCCTAATACAATACACCTCGTCCTAATCTAGACATTTGGATCATTGATTCTGGAGCCAGTTAACACATTACTTCTGAATTCGACAAAATGAATATTAAGGATCAGAGACTGTTTCTGCAATGTTTGCCTCTCACAATACACCTAACCCTAATCCAGGCATGTAGTGTTTGATGCAAATACTTTTCCCTTTGCCTCCTTATGTCTTTTTTAATGTCAACTTCTCCTCCTACCACAATTTATATTCTTGGTCCACACCCTTCCTCTCTCAGTTCAAATTCTGAATCTTCAGTTTCAGCAATATCTCAACCTAGCTCATCCAATAATACACTACTTCCTTTTCTCTTTCATTCTTTAGATCCCTTGCAAACCTCCACAGATAAACTATTCACAACCTACTAAAATAACCTCACCACCTCCTACTTGTTCTGCATCTATACTACCTTCTCCTCATCAAATATCTACACCTACTTTTTATAGAAATGTTCATCCCATGAAAACCAGGTCCAAAGCTGGTATTAGCAAACCTAAAATTATGACATCCAAAAGCCCAGAATGGAATGCAGCTATGCCAGCTGAATTTGATGCACTGCAGCAGGAGCTGCATACCTAGTCTATAGTTCCACCCAAACAGAAAAGAATATCATTAGATGTAAGTGAGTGTACAATCCTGATGGCTCTATCTCTGGGCAGAAAGTGACAATAGTAGCTAAAGGTTTCCATCAAGAGGCAGGATTGGATTATGATGAAACCTTCAGCCCCGTAAGGAAACCTGCAACAGTCAAGCTTGTTTTAGCACTTGTACCTCACTAACACTGGCCTCTAAGGCAACCGGATGTCAAAAATGCCTTTGTGCATGGCTCTCTCAAGGAGGAGGTATACATGCAACATCCTCCTGGTCTCTCAGACCCTCACCACCTTTCATATATATGCAGGCTTCATAAATTCATTTATAGCCTCAAACAAACTCACAGAGCTTGGTTTGAGTGCTTCACACCTCATCTTCATCAATCTGGTTTCTATTCCTTAAGTGCTGATCCTTCTCTATTCATCAGTTCTGCAGCTCATATCTCTGAATTACATCCAGTCTTTGACATGAAAGACTTAGGCCCCTTACACTATTTGCTTGGCATTCAGTTCTCAGTATTCATCTATCTCAAGATAAATACTTAGCAGATCTTTTGCAGAAATCCAACATGTCCAATTACATTACTCCCCATTCTACCTCTCCTTTGGCCAAAACTGAGGGCACCACCCTAGAGAATCCCACTTTATATCGTAGAATAGTAAGGGCTTTACATTATCTTACCTTCAAGAGGCCGCATATCACTTTTGTTGTTAGTCTCTTTTTTTTTTTTTCCTCGTTTTCCAATTCATTCAATCACCCCATATCACTTTTGCTGATAATCTCCTTTGCCAATTCATGCAATCACCCACTGATGTGCATTTTTCTGCAGTCAAACAAATCTTAAGGTACCTAAAAGGTATATTCCATCTTGTGGTCTCTTATACACTCCCAGCTCTCTTTCCTTAACAGCATATGCCATGCTGATTGGTTGCTGATCCTTATGATCGGCGCCCTACCACTGGGTTTCTTGTCCACCTTGGTCACAATCCTATTCACTGGGGATCAAATACCATCAAGTGTTATCTCCCTGAAAAATCTCTCATTCTTTGTGATAATAGCTCAGCTCTTGCACTTGCATCTAATCACATATTTCATCCTCACACAAAGCACATCGAGATTGACTATCACTTCATTCAAGATCAAGTTATCAGCAATCAGCTCAATGTGGCTAATCCTCCCTCTGATCTTCAGCTTGCTGACCCCTTCACCAAGGGACTTCTCACTGATAAATTCCTTCATTTATGATCCAATATGATGGCCTCTCCCCCATCAGCTTGAGGGGGCTGAGCTAAATTAATCACATGGAAATTACTGTAATCGTATGTACAAAGACAGACATAATGTAAATCAAGTGAATAATGAGAAGAGAGCTGAGACTCTGTTTTTTTTTTGTCTTCTGTTTGAGTGCGTCTCTTTCAGCATACCCAAAAATAATTCTAGTACCTTGATCACAGTGGCATTTTGTTCCGCGGCATTATTAACACTAACGGACCCAGTTGGAGGTAATAAAAAATTCTATTACCTCAAAGGTAACATCTTTGAAGAAGAACGCAAATACCCAATATGAGGTAACAAAATCTCTGAAAAATTCACACCACAAACGGACAATTAAGTGAAGAAAAATAAGAAAGAAAGGAAGTACCTGGGTGGGTTCATACGATGTCCAAGCGTCTCAAATTCGAAATCAACCGTAAGGGATGAAAACCAACAATCCATTTGTAAAAGAATCAAAATCCAGCACAATAACAGAGATGGGTTGTTGGATAGAGAGAGAAATGAGATACGCCCCGCTCTGTTCTTCGTTAGATTCTTTGCTCTCTTCTCTAGGTCTCTGGCTGTTCCTAGTGTTTGAATTCTAGTACAGAGAAGGTGCTGGCTGAGGTGGGTTTGGCGTTTCGGTTGGGTTGATCGGTCGGAACTGACGACTGTAGCCATGAAATTTAAACCGAGGGAGGGTAAGACGGAGAATGGAGTGGGTTGACATAAAGGATAGGGTTGTTTGGTACTTGGGATGGAAGTGTTCAGTATTCGGATCACACGCTCTCCCGGTTTATTTTGTTTAGCTTACTGATAAAAGCAAAGTGGTCTTTATAATTTTTCTAATATTTACATAACACAACAAGGATTTAAATTAATCCAATTTTAATCAACTTTCTTGAAGGGTACAAAATTCACCTCCATTAATTTTTTGGGAGAATTACACCCAGATGTTATGAGATTTATCATTTAATTATTTAAATCTCTTTTCTTTCAAATTTTAAATACAAACCCTCTAAAATTTATAAACTTTAAATATAAAATATTATAATTAAACCCTTTATTAGTTACAGAATTAACGGAATCTAGTACGCAATCAATTTACCTCAATTAAATATAGAAGATATTGTGTGTATTACAGTTTGACCCCTTTTTTTTGTTTTTTAGTTTTATTCCAATAAATAGTATAATTATATACTAATTATGATTTTTTTTTAAAAAAAATTAGATTTTTATTTTTAATTTTTAATTTTATTTCAATAAATGACATACTATAACATAAATTTTGATTGTAAAATTTAAAATAATTGATATTTTATCTTTAATTGAAATATTTTTTATCTAAGTATAATATTTTAAACTTTAGGAGTCTAGATATTACAAGTATTTAAACTTTAGGGGTTTGAATATAATTTACTAACGGACATTAACAGTATGGGTCTAAATGTGTTACGCTCATACAAACTTTAGAGAATTTGTGTATAATATTTCAAAGTCAAGGGTTTAAATGATTAAATGATAAATCTTAGGGAGATTTGAGTGTAATTCTCCCTTGCACAAAGTTTTTTTTTTAAGTTAATTACACTGAAAGTCCTTAAAATATGAAATTTATCTCATTTTGTCTATAATATTTTAATTATATTATTTTGGTCCTTCAAGTATTTAATATATTTTTATATAATTTTTCAAGCAAATAACATCCAATTTTGTAACTATTTTTAATCATAAACTTCTCATGTGATACTTATATGTTGACAAAAAAATTATTTAGGTAATTCTTGACAAAAAAATGTATAATTTAGAAATAGGGAATGTCATTGAATATATGGCTAGCTACAGGGAATATGGAAGAAGTTTATCTTTTTCCTTTTAGACGGTTCGAGCCAGCTTATATTTACCTCAATTAATTTCTTTTTTAATTTGATCATAAACTGGTCATATCCACCTAGGGGTGCAACTTGGGCGGCTTACCTGAATTCAACCTAAACCCAACTGAGAAAAAACAGGACTTGGATTGAGGTTTTTAATACTTGAATTGAGTTTGGGCAGAAAAACACCGACTTGAATTGAATTCGAGTAGTACTTAGGTTGAGGTCTTGGGTTGCCGAGTTCTACTCAAATATATAAATCGGACTTAACGCGAACATATTTAAAAATAAATATATAAATCAATATGACAAATATTACTTACAAGTTAAAACACTAGGGATTAGTCTTATGTTAAATATTTGGCTATTATATCTTTATATTAAACATTGATTTTTATGTTTTAAATACTATGATCTTTATGTTAAATATTTAATTGAAGTTGTTGATTGTTACTTTAAGTAAATATTTGATCGAGCTTGAATAAACCCAACTTGAATTCTAATATGAAATCAACCCAAATTACGTAACTCGAACCTAACCCGAATTCTAATATGAAATTTGCCTGAATTACTTAACCCGAATTTAACCTGAACCCACCTAAATTAAATTTTCGCAATACTCCAATTGAGTACATCGGATTGAAGTTGAGTTAGAATTAAATTTAAAGTTGAGAATTATTTAGGGTTAGACTAAAATTGACTCTCAACCCATTCAACCGGTCAAAGTTGCACCCCTCTATCCATCTCACAACTAAGATGTTCACGAGGAAGAAATTTTTTATGAAAATTACCAAAATTTCATTGTCGCTACACTTGCACTATCCTTCAAGATTCCATCTATTTTTATTTTCTTTTTCGATTAGGGGTTTCTTGAGTTGATTGTTCCAAAGATGCACTACTTCGTATCTGATGTTTCATTGGGGATGATAGAAAAATAAAATGATAAAAAATTAGAGAAATAATAAAATATTATATTTGATAAGGAAGAAATATAGGAAGGATGAAAAAATAGATACATTAACTTTATTTTCAACTCACCAAAATTAATCCCTTTAAAATTGGAAGAAAAGTGGATGAAAAATTAATTATTTGTATTAAGATGTATCTTATTTGTCTATATATATATTTGAATATACTAGTTGGTGCCCACATGCGTTGTATGTGAACTATTTTGAACTATAATTTTAGTTTTTAATTTCTACTTTTTACCGACATTATCTCTATATTTTTAGTTTTATGTATGCAAATTACAAAATAAAAGAGACAAAATGTAAAAGGAAGACATCGGATAGTTAATTTGATTACTTATTGGTTGTTTATAATATTTATATTTCAAATATTTTGCTTCTACCATGGTTGTGGGCAATACTTATCAGAATTTCTATTAGGAATATAAAGTTTCTCACCCCAAATTGTGTTCAAATTGAAAAAAATTATAATCTTTTAGTAAATGTTTGACAATTGAAAACGAAAAAATGGGTTAAAACTCAGGAGAAGTGAATAAAAATATAATTAAGTAGAATTTGCCTATAGTTGTAAAAATTAATCTTAGACATCAAGATCATGACAACTCAATTTTTTAAATTAAAATTAAGAAGTAAATAAATAAAAAATTGAATCTAAACAATAAATAAGACACATCACATTATCTTAAAGTCTTAGATTACACTCAAATTAGATCATCAAAGTAGTAATTGATAGTAAGATAATATCAAATGAAGCTACGTATTGATACAAAAAAAGAATTACATAAGTAACAAATAATTATTTCACCTTGAGTTCATCATTTTCAATATCGTTTACAAGTCTTATTTTCATAAGATTCATTATAACTTGTAAAAAAAAAAAATAAAAGCAAAAGACAAAATTGATGGAGCTATGAAAGTTATAGAGAATAACAAAAATACCAATAGTTTTTTATTATTTAAAGAGGTAATTTTGTTCTACTGTTTGAAAAGTGAGGGTTTAAAAGGAGAGCATGTCATTCTTATATTGTTTTTTTAATTTTTTCCAATGTTGTGAATATGAAAGGTTTTTCTATAAATAAACTTATGTATTCATTGCACTTGTAATTACAAATATTTATTTTTTGGAAGGAGAGGGTGTAAAAGTTAAAGTGACAAGTAGGATATGATAGTCTTTATATGACTAAGTAAGGGTGGAATAGAAAATAAATTTTTTTTCTCATTAGCTTCCTTTTATTAGTAATATAAATACATATATTATGTATATATTAATTTCATATAAAAATATAATAATAAAATATGTATTTATATATCTATTTAAAAAAATTTAAAAATAAAAATTAAAAAAAATATTTTTTCCGTTTTAGGGGTGAAAATTTTTGATTCAACACAATAATAAGACTCGAACTCAACACGAATTTTGTGACACGAATTTAATTATAACTTTATAAGAACTTAAAAATGACAAGAAATATAAGCATCTCATATCCAGTTCAATCCGTCAAACTCAAAATTGATACCATCAACCCGTTTATTTAAAAATAATTTTTTTTTCTATTTTCTCGTTTGTATGATAACACGATGTTTAACATGAATTTAATTAAGTGAAAATAGAATATTAACATTAAATTTTTTATTTAAAATTTATGTGAGTCAACACGAATACGAACACGAACATGAATACGATATAAAAATAAATAAATTAACTCGACACGAGACAATTAATTAAATGAATTGAATTAAGTTTGACTATTTTTAAACATAAATCCTCGACATGGGTGATATATTCGACTCGATTATCACCTCTATCTTAACCGGTACAAAAAAATAATAATCGTTTTTATTTTTCATCAGTTCTACCGAACTTGACACCTCTACGTGATTCCAGAAACTACTGCTGCATAACCGACTTGATAAAAATTACAAATTAAGTCTTTAACAAAATCCACCCCACGCTACCCATCGCAAACCACCGGCAGCAAACCTTCCTCATCGCCATCGTCACACAAAGCAGCAGATCTGATCATCACTGGTGTCTTCTTAATCATCCACCTAGCAAAGGCCGCATCTTTTGGCCTGTCAACTTATTAATAGATGGAGAGAGGAAGGGGAAGTAGGGTGTCGCGTGGGATGCTTCCACTGCTGGCTCTGCACGCTGTGAGTGAGTATTGCAGGCTTGACAGAAAACCGCCGGTTACGGCCGGACTTCTTGCTGCTAACACTCTGATTTATTTGAGGCCCAGTTTTCTCGAATCTATTCTCCCTACCGTGGATGAGGTTTGGTTCAATCCGCACCTAATCCTCAAGGTACCCCTTCTATTCCTTCTTTTTCAGTCTCTCTCTCCCCCTGTGCTTCTGCTGAGAAATTATGAAATATGTCTTTGATTAATTATACAGGTTTTGGGCATTCAAGGGTTTGATCTATTCTTGTTGTCATTTGGGGGTTTGTAGAATTTAGGGGAAAAACCCTATGTCTATGTAGCCGAGTAATTCTCTGCAATTACCGGAATGATTCTGTCATTTCTTGTTATATTGCCTGCAGAAGCAATGTAAATATGAGTTTTGAATGCGCCTTTTTAATTGGTTCCTCTAATGTCTCAGCCTCTAGTTAGGGAATCAAGACAGTGCATCTTCATTGCTGAATTTCTACTTTTTTTTTCCCGGACCAAGCTCTTGGATTTTGATTTAAAGCAACTCCAGGAATCTGTGGCTAGGATTCAAATTGCTGAATTCCCTGCTAGATGCATGTTATTTCAATGTAAACCAGTGGTTTAGTGTTACTGTGGTGTAAAATACATATGTTTTCCCAAGCTTAAAGTTTAGACAGCATACACATTGCTACTTGACTTGTGTGAAACATTTACAGCCAGATTCCGCCTTCTGTCATACCGCTAGGCCTCGTCAATTAGAACAGGACGTGATGAAAGAGTTCAAATGATTGAGTGAAACCTAAACTTGCCTTTAATATAAGAATTAAGTTTTCAAACCTGTTAGTTAGAAGAACATCTCCCTGCTTTTAGGCCTTAAAACATGTGAATATATATAAGGTGATGGTTTCCAGGTAAGTTTGGGATTTCTTTTTTGCACTTCCAAATGTAGTGCATTCTATAAGTTTAGTCTTTGCATGGCTCAATTTAGTCCATTCTACATGTGTTTTTCTGGTAAGACAACCATTTAGTCTTCCAATGCTAGCATCCATTACTCCTTTAAAACCCTAGTTAACCTTTCATGTAACCATCGTTGTTAGTATTGTACCATACATGATATGTATTGTACAGTATGTTATAGTATACAAGGAAAATAATACAAATCGTACTTATGTATAGCTTTTGCTTTGTATCGTACGTTATAGTCATTATGTTGTGTATCACACAATACATCCAATACGCAGAGCTTGTTTTTTATTTTTGGTTTTTGTCAATTAAACAACGTCGTTGCACCTGGGGATTTATTTTTTTAAGCCCTAGACAGTGAAACAATTGTGAAACAATGTTGTTTCACTATCTAGGGGTTAAAGAAAATAAAGCCCCTCTCTTGGTTCGAACAAAGATAAAACCCAGGGCTCTGTGAGTGCATCTGTTTCGGAATCCCCTCTCATCTACTTTGAAAATCCATTACACAGCTTCTGCTTCTTCAAAAATCTTCTTCGAATATCTTCTCCAAGCCTCTGCAACTGCTGTAATCATCTTCATTCATGGTTTCTATAAAGACTTCAACTAAAACCCTTAGTTGCAAACTGAAACCCTCAGCCCTCAAGTCTTCTTCTTCATCCTCTGGTTTTACTAGTTTCAGCTTTCTCTTGTTCTGCGACTTTGGTATATGCCTGCAACTCGCATGTAAAGTTTGAGAAATGTCTTCTGCTCTCTTGCGTCTAGCTCCAACACAAATCCAAAATTCTAAATGTAAGTACTAATTGAACTTGAAGATGAGGATGGGGATAAACACATGCAAGAAGCTGAAAAGGATGAAGGAAGTGAAAAGACTTGTTGGCATCCGATAGCAATGATGATGATGATGCATTTCCAATTGAAATTGGAGATTGAGTTGAAAATGGAATGGAATCAATAAGAATAAATTGTTTTGGATGTTAGAGGCTAGAACCAGAGGTTTTCGAATTTTGATATTAATGAACTTTGTTGGAGACTTAAATAGGTGGTGAATATTAATGAAGTGAAATGTTATTATAACTTTTTTTCAAAGGGATATATATTTTATTAATATATTGTTTAAAATTGTCTGTACTTTACGATACGCAATATGTTACTATAGACAATAATCTATTTTTGAAAAACGATACGCCATCCGATACACGTTTTCATAACCATGCATGTAAGCCAATGGAAGGTACAAAATAGGGAAATGCAATTTTGTCACAAACCTTTCATCCCGTGTAAACAATTCTCTACGGAAAATTCTCAAAATGTTAAACTCAAAAAGCCTTTAGAAAGGCACAGTTAAAGTTAGAAACCACCAAAATCTGCGTCTATCACGTGGAATTAGGATGATACCTTTAGAAAGCCTTGGGCACAGCCATAAATGGAACTGTGGCGTGGTTCAAACATCTAGAAGGGGCCCTAAAGAGGACCTCGAGAAACACCCAGTAAAAGGAAATGGACGTGGCCCCGTGTAGTCTTGAGTCAGGCATTGTTCCTTGGGCTGAAACTAATGCTGAGAGTTTATCCGCTAAGGAAAAAGTGCCATGAATTGTTTCGAAAAAAAAGTTGTGGAAAAGACCTTGCTTGGTCATATGGGACACCCTTGTATCAGGCTCAAAACCTTATTCACATCGGGATCTTTGGGGGCACACAGTTTGGTGGTTTGAGTTAGCTGTAGTTAGTTGCCTAGCTGGTTAGCAAGATTAGGCTTCCTCCTAGCCGAGCAACTCATGTGTGACTGACTGTTGTATAAATGAGGAACGTTCTTTTATGAATGTTGTTTGGCTCCTGCTGAGCCAATCCAGTGTCATGAGAACATGTTGTGCACTGCTCAGAGCATCATCCACTGAAGCCTCTAATGTGGCGGAAAAGGGCCGTGTTACCTCGGCCTGTCCTCCCCGGTTATTCGGCTCTTCAGTGATTAAGCTGCTTGGATATTGCTTTGAAGAGTGACTATGAGACTATTTCTAATTTCTTGGACCCCCCACCCCCACCCACCCACTCTTAAAGAAAACCCAAAACAACTTTCATGATTTAGAGGAAAGATTATCACGGTTATGAAATTATGGGTTTTACAAGGTTCAAGATATTGTCTTTTCTTTTGTCGGACTGAGTTGGCAGGGTGTGTGTGCCCACTTTTTAGGTCACTTAGAAGAACTTCACCCACGATGGTACCTCTCCACAGATGCTGCCACTTTCCTACGGGCTTGAGCAGAGCATGGCGCTACACTGCATCATTATGATTTTCATTTTCTCTTAGTTTTTTAGGAGTTAAATTGTATTATGGATTCAATATACTAGGGCAAATAAGTTCATGTGATCTATACTTGCCCTCTCTTGTCGAAAAGTGGTGCTTGTGTTGTTACAACCCATTATAGGTAAATTTTTTTTTTTTTTCCAGTTTAGTTTTACATTTTGTTTGATAGACTTATTTCTCATCACATTTGTCTCGTCTGAGTGCTAGTGAGATGACTTGACTATTGTAATTGGAGTATTGTTATTGGGACATAAAATTTTGACTTAATGATGTGGTAGGTGACATAGTCTAATAGTATTATTGTAACTGTAACTGTTGGACATCTTTATTGGGATCATATCAATGGACACATCGTTAGGAAATGGTATTAGATCATATTATTAGGTACGAGAAGTATTATCTCCGTTATATGTATTTTTGCTCTTGTGTGATCATATTTTTTTTTGCCTTGTGTTTGAGCAGCACAGGGATTTAAAGCGATTCTTTTTATCAGCTTTCTACCACATGGGTGAATCTCACCTGGTCTACAACATGATGTCACTTCTATGGAAGGGGATCCAGTTAGAGACTTCAATGGGGAGTGTTAAATTTGCATCTATGGTTGCAGCCCTACTTGGTATGTCTCAGGGCATCACGCTGTTATTAGCCAAATCTCTTTTACTGCTTTTTGACCATGAGAGAGCTTACTACCATGAATATTCCATCGGATTTTCCGGTGTTCTATTTGCCATGAAAGTAGTGGTCAATTCCCAATCAGATAACTACACTTCTGTCCATGGACTTGTGCTACCATCACGTCATGCTGCTTGGGCTGAACTGATTCTCATCCAAATGTTTGTACCTGGTGTTTCTTTTCTTGGTCACCTTGGTGGAATACTTGCTGGCATTCTCTATCTACATTTGAAAGCTTCCTATTCGGGGTCAAACCCTCTAACTACAATCATAAGACGTTTTACAAGGATACTGAGCTGGCCTGTAAGACTTGTGTGGGGCATTTGTCGATTCCGGCGACTGCAAATTTTTGGCAGGGGAACTGTTGGTGGGAGTCAGGCTAGACGTGCAACTGGCGTGTGGAGATGCCAAGCATGTACATTTGACAACTCTGGTTGGTTAAATGTGTGTGATATGTGTGGGACAGACCGTTTTGATGATGGACTGTCGTCCCTTGGATCGTCAAATCAGACTCACGACCTTCCTGTGGAAGAATTACGGCGTCGCAGAGTTCAAAGATTCGGTAGATGATAAAAAAATTTACCATTTTTATAGGTATTTTTACTACTGTTAGCTCAGCTCTCCAACTATTACACCCGATCTTTCACTTCTCTACACAGTGCACACATGGCCTAATAATGCACAAACTTGTGATGTCGAAAATTCGGTTGCCTCCGCGTCAAGCGAACTAGACCAAGATTTCCTAGAAAAAGAAGTCGGAAATCAGAGGAGCTCGAGTAAAAACTGTGTAAAGCTTGATTGCATATTTGGGGGTATCAACTATAGTTGTATTTATAAGAGTATTTAGTGATAAAATTGCGCTAGAACTGGACTCTAGCCCATTGAACCTCGGTCTAATTAAAATTAGACTATTATGAATTTGAATTTGAATGGGTTTTATACTTTTCAGGGTCGTTTGATTGTTGTATTATAGAAGGTATTAGAGAGTTTTACATGATTAAAATATTTCAATTTGGCCTTATACAATATCTGGATGTTAAAAGTCACTTGATATTGTGTATGCTATTAAATTAAATACATATATATACCATATATTTTTAGTACCTTTACTTGTACTATTAAGCCTATATATATATTTTTTTGGGGTTAGTCTATTAAGCCTATTTTAATGCCACTTGAGAGGTGGTATTGTAATGTAGTCAAAAAGTATTATAATTCAATTTTACTATTTTGTCTCAAAACTACTATAGTTTAATATCACCACAAGAAATTCAATGAACAATATCAGAAAACCCTAGCTACAGAAAATTGAAACAACTCAAAATTTCCAGTGGATTCCAGTATGGGGCATTTCAATTTTAAGAATCCCAGCCACTAGAATTTAAAAAATTATCAGATTTGAATAACTAATTATCAGGTTTTATGAATATGAAACTACCACAAGAGACCATAGCAACAAATATAATGATTTGAGTATTGGGCCTTCAAGATTGACGAGCATAACAAGTACAAATCCTGAACAATTCAATTTAAGTTGTCTCACATGACACTTGAATAAGAAGAGAGTCATAGACGCCTTTCCAAAAATAAACAAACTAAATTACATTGCAGACTTACTATATGGGGTTGATTCTGTAGTGGATAAATCAGTTGTTGGTCTTGAGGGAGAAGACAAAAAAGGCTTGGGAGGAATTTGCAAGGAGTCTAAGCTCCCTTCCAACATTTCCACAACCCTAGTCATCGCTGGTCTATTTGAGGGATCAGTTTGTATGCACCACAAGCTCACTATTATCATCTTCTTAGCAGTCATATTTTCCTCATCATTCATGATGCTACACAATCCAAGTTCTCCATCTTGTTCAAGTTGTTGGTATATCCAATGTGGAAAATATATTTCACTGGTTTTATCAACCACCACCTCAATATTTTTTCTCCCTCCAACCATTTCTAGAACCATCATTCCGTAGCTATAAACATCTGACTTGTGAGAGACACCTCCAATGTTTCTACAAACTATTTCTGGAGCAATATACCCAATTGTCCCTCTTGGAGTTAGCATTGAGATGGTGCTCTCTTTTCTAGGGCATAGTTTAGCAAGGCCAAAGTCAGAGATCTTTGGGCTGAAATCTTCATCTAGAAGAATGTTATGAGGCTTTATGTCAAAATGCAAGATTCGTGTGTTGCAACCACGATGTAAGTACTCAAGTCCTCGAGCAATGCCTATTGCAATTTGGTACAACTTTTCCCATCCCAGGTGACGTTCTGTTGAGGAACTTCCATCATATATGAATTTCTCAAGAGACCCATTAGGCATAAACTCATAGATGAGAGCCCTTTTACGACCCTCAAAGCAAAAACCCAAGAGAGTTACAATGTTAACATGTGAAGTCTTACTAATACTTGCAACCTCATTAATGAATTCTTCTCCAGAACCTTTTAATTCACTTAAAACCTTCACTGCCACCAGGCTGCCATCATGTAACTTCCCTTTGTAAACAGAGCCAAAGCCTCCTTGACCTAGTTTAACTTTGAAGGAGTTGGTCATCTTCTTAACGTCAGAATAACAGTACCTTTTCAGAGCTATAAATCCGCAACTCTTCAAAAAAACTTTTACATTTTTAAATTTATCTGTTTTGCTCAGTGCAAATTTTCTTCTGAAGCAGAAGACTGTAGCTACTAAAATGCCAATCCCAACAGCAAAAGCGACTGCAATCACTGAAAGGAGAAAATACCATTATGCAGTACAAGATCAAAAGTATAATTAATTTTCCAGTTTCAAAACTCCATGATGGCGCATATACAAAGAATGTTCATAGTCCCCCAAAATCAAACAACCAATCCCTTCCCTTTTTGGCTTTTCATACTCATTCCTCGGAGCCCCTAACTGATCCCAACAATAACACATACAAACAAACACACACAAAAAAAAGAAAATGTTAACATTGTCGTCTGCTGATTTCTATCTGATTTTTTTTTCCTGATTGTTCTAATTGTCACCTTAGGGGATATAAATATATTGAGTGCTATTTCCGTACCATGTCTGGAACCATATTCAAACTTCAATAGATAAAAGTTCGAACCCTTTAGATTTTTCCTTAACTTGTGGTCATATGCAGGTTTAGTTGCTCTCCACTCACATTTCGTCCAGGTTAGAGTAGGCCTAGTCCCCTAGATTTGTACAATCTATTATGATATCTATATATTGTTTCAATGTTTCCACCATGCCAACTGACACAAGTGAAAGAACACATGAAGGTATCTCTCCCTCTGCATGTATTAGTTCACATTTTGGCGTTTATTCTTTTTAACCTCGTGTAGAAAACTAAATCCAAAAAACATATGTTTTTTCTTTCTTTCCTTTTCATGTCTATCTGGCTTGGTCTTAGATTTGCTGAAATCGGATGATAGAGAACATAAAACTAGAAAAGCTCTACTTAAGAAAGACGATATAAAGTATGGAAAAAGAATATTACCCGCGACAGGAATTGATTTCAAGTGGGTTTTTCCTGCAATCAATTTCAGTCCGAACAAAATTATTTCAGCATTTCATAAGAATAAAAGTGAGGTAATTTACTTTGCATGGTCGAATTTTTTCACTAGATAAGCAAACATTTAAAACATGTCCAACTTATAAAACAACCCAAACTGATCAGGGTTGTGCAGATAAATTTTTGTTTTTTGGGATCGGATGTGGACTAGCAAAGAGAGCAGCATGCAAATGTGCATATGCAAAAACCATTCTCGCATTCGGGTGAGTGAATAAGAAGCTTTCTGACACAGAATAATAACCGAAGCGCGTCAGACTAAACCTTGACCTTGCGTTTGGGATGAGTCTTAGTTTTGAATTGAACCTGATGATGTATAAAATAATCTCGTGCAAGATCAACAGTCGAATGTGTGATAAAGTATAATTAATGGACAATTAATAGAACAATCAATAAAAATAATGTAAATATCGAGTCAACACACAAATATATATTAGTTCGATTCGGATGACCTACTCCACACCAGGAAACGACAATAGTGGCCGGAGAACCTTTATTGATAAAGTATGGTGATCGAGAGAGAGAGCAATAGTTAGCTTTGAGAGGGATACAATAGTTATGAGAGAGAAATTATGTGTGTGTAGGGAAGTGTAAAGAGATCTCAAGAGGTATTTAGAGGTATAAAGTGGTGTCATCTCATGTAGAAAAAACTTACAATTTATAGGCACAGAATCTTAATTAAGGCGGTGACGTGAGGACAAAGACACTAATTCTCTGGATCGCTAACTTTATTTGCCCACCAATTTTGACTTAATGGACTCTTTCCTTCACAAATATCTTCATAAATCTTAATATATTAGTTTCCTTTGGGTCTTCTATTCGACTTGTTGACTAACCTAAACAATTATTCCTCGAGCCATGAAGAAAATATGTTAACTTAAGATTTGCTTAAGCTTGAATAATCATGATGATCCTTGCATTATATATGAAACTCTAATTAATTCTAAGGTTAATTCAATTGCTAATTTAGACGAGTTGTAAATTTAAACGTCCTGAATTCAAATTTTAATAATTTTTTGAGATCAGATCATGAGAATGTTCCTGCGTAAATAACTTGTCTTTAATTAAACTGGGGAGTAAATTAGTCGAGTTGTGCGTCAGTTGACCCAAATACTCCTTACCGTTAAACTAAACAAAAATGAAACTCAAAAACTAATTAATTGAGCTTAATCTATTTAATCTCCCTCGATTCTCATAAAATTCCATTGATTAAGAGATTAAAGGCACAATCCTTACTAACGACAAAATTAAAAAAAAAAAAAAACTACCCTTAAAAGGAAATTGTTGATACTTAAAGTGAGACCATTGACATTCAAAAACTCTAAAATCTCAATCACAATCCTGTATTGATATAATTTGTCCACATTCATATATTTGATTATATATTTTAAACCAAATTTTCAACTTTAGTATCATAGCTTATGGTTTTTAAACTTTTCCGGAGTTTACATTCAATCCACATAATAAAGGATAAAACCCAACTAAGGCCCGTAAAATGTCCATTTAGGCCGGTTGGTTGACTAGTCAGCTAAAAGAGGAACATGCTAACAGCAGTAAGGAGAATTGATTAGTGTATAAACCCTGATTTTGAGGTGATGAAGCTAAGCACTAGGAGTTGAAGGGTTGGACTAGAAAACAAGGATAGGAACTAATGGTGCACGGTAGAGTATGATCAGACAGGACTTTTAACACCCCATGGTACTTGAGGGTGTTTTCTAAAATGTTCACATAGGGCTCAGAAACAGACCCAAGCAACTCCACTGCCTTTACAAGGATGGTTCAAGATCTGGTGTTTTCAACTCGGAAGGCACAGGGACGTATCGATTACAATATCATGGAACTAAATCTAATGAATAAAAGAAGAAGTTGGACATAGTAAATGATGGATTCAGGTATCACAGCGTCGGAATGCTGATACTTTGAGTAGATGATGATGATTCATACGAGTTGACTAAAATAGTTTTGTGTCAATTACAAGTCGAGTGAAACTCGTGGTATACACAGTGCAGAGTAGTTTTGGAACAAAAAAGTGCAGATTTGTGTCAGACACAAGTTGAGTCTCTAAACCATTCCCCAAACATCAAAATTGCCATGCTTCCAAGTCAAGATGCAAATTAACTTGGTCTAATTGGATTGCATACTATCTACACCCATAGATGCAATCCTCAAAACCAGGCCAAGTTCTGGCAAATTCCAGGGCCTGTGTTTCCAAGTCAGAGAACTTGAAAATCAGATGCCCTCCAATTTGATCTACAATACAATGTTGTCTATATGGCATAAGAAGTTCGAGGACTAGACCAATGTCCAGCCAACAATCTGAACTGATCCTGTGCCTTAGCAGCTTAACTTTCAACTAATTCCTACTTGAACTCAAAATAAGACTAACCACAAGATTAGAGACACATACCCTTTCCAGTTTGATCCGTATTACGACAGGTGCGAGCATATGATCCACCTAAACAATAGCAAGCAAAGGATGTGTTGCTTGAGTCAGACCCACATCGCCCACCAGAATCGTTGCACTGGGTGCAGTACATATTATTCGCATCCCACTGCAACTGAAAACCACCGTCAAGAGCTGCTGTTAGATTATTTGTCGTAGACGAATCGCTTGACAATATCTCAGTCGAGGTCTCATTAACCGGAACAATAACATTGCTATTGCAGGTCATTGCGGTATTGTTGATGAAAAAGTCGAGTGTTTCTTCCATTGTGAAATAACTAGAACTGGGGGTGTTGTTCACATTGCAATCAAATTGATTTTGCAAGCTTACTGGAACTCTGGGGCACCCGTAATGAAGACTGATGTTCCGCTGGCGGATTGAATAGCTAAAGATGTTGAAATCCATGGTGGTGTTGTAAAGAAAGATTGGACAAATATTGTTCCACAGATCCTGTCTAGCAACTGTGAGAGTTTGCGTTTTGTTATCGATAGCCAGGACTCGGAAATCCATTGACAGGATTGTGATTATGGGGGCATCACCTTGGCAATTCAGCCTGAAACGCGGGTGGCCGCAGTATGGTAGCCGGTTTTGTCCCCAGAAAGGATAACCGATGCCCTGAATGTTCGCACACTCAAACAACTCACCACAGGCTGCATATTGCTCATTGTCTTCACCCAGAAACATAGGAAGGTGGCTGAAAATAGAGATTCCGATCATGATCATGAAGAGATTGGGATGCATTTTGATTTTGAGAGAGAGATGACTTTAGACGAATTTGGTGCAATCCAAGTAAAATTTGGGGATGGAGATCTGAAATTGAAGGAGATGAAAAAGTCTTGTTTTCCCATGAATGACGATGATATAAGTGGAAGAAAATGATCTTTGACTGCTAAGCCACCTTGTAAAACATTTCTAAGAGAAGCTTCTACTGGAAATTGAAAAAATAGCTGACCAAGTTTAAATAGAATGCATGCCGCCCCTACCGAAAATCTAAATTCATAGTCTGACCATGTTTGTAGAACACGAAACTTGATAAAATAACAGCAAATTATCCTGAAAATTTTTGTGAAATATATATTGAAAAAATATTTGGAAGACATAACCACCTAAAAGTTTAAGTCTATAAGTTTACATTCAGACGCATTTCAATTCTTGTTCTATCTGATGTAAGATTTTCACACATGTAGTAGTTTCTTAAGTTAATTCTCTAAGTTGTTTCTAAGACAAAGTATCACCAATATTTTAAAAGGATTCACACGGTGGACTCTGACGACGTATTAAAGCATTCACCAAAAAGAAAACAGAAAAGCAGAGGATGTATTAGTTACACCAATCAAATAGTTGTGAAGGATGAAACTTATAGGAGCCAAACGGGGTGAATTTTCCAGGCTGATATGGAAATGTCAAGGAAATAAATGGTGGGTGCAGTGAAGTCAGGCTAGTTGACTAATGAACCAAAGCAACAAAGTCCATCTTCAGAGACAACAAAATCTGTCTATGGAAGCTAACAAGTGGACCCCAAGTATGAATGTTTCAACACCCTTGCTGCACCTTCATCACAATAACATTAAGTTTCATGACAAGGAAATGCAACCGAAGACCTGCGAACCTAATATGAAATGGGCATGGAATTGATGGGTTTAGGTTTTAACCATAGCGGTTAGGAGTAATAAACGAAAATAAATTCGTCAAATAATGAATTAATATAAATTTGGTTGAGCACGTCATGAATCAAACTAAACATAATTTATGAATGACCTTGACTAAACACGATTAGAAATGAGTTAGGTATGATTAAAGTAAATTTGGGAACTAGAAGACTTAGCTCAATTTCTCTACACCTTACTCTTTAGGTAAGTACAAGGGAGAAAAAGGGAATGGTGGCCACCAAAGTAGGTAACCAGGATTATGTACCTTTTAGTAGTACCATGTCATAAGTATTACCCTGTTTCCAGCATTCATATTGGGTCTCAATAGGTCATAAGCTTAAGTTCTGAATACACAACCAAAATAGTCATGGACAGAATCATGCTGTGGCCATGGGAGGCCATGGCTCTTCTCGGGTGGCCCGATTACCCGACGATATTACCCTATTACGGACTCGGTCCGTCTCCGACTATATTGCCTTCTTAATTTTCAGCCCACAATATGTTATGGCTCTTGCACATGAACTAAATAAAGCATAATATCTAGGGATTCCTAGCCTCATGGCCTGTGTGTTGTAGTCAAAGCCAGATGAATTTTGCTTGTAGTGTCAAGTATAACTGAAAGCAGACATACCTGGCCTAGTCAGACATGTGTTTGAGTATGGTTGATCATGGCAAAAGCAAGCGAATTGATTTTCGGTTCGATTATATCCACATTCCCCGACCGATTCAACACATTTGCTGCATTGGTCACTCTCATTCCACTGCAATTCAAAACCCCCATCTATTACTGTACCAAGATTCGTAAAATTGTCCTCCAGAGCTCTAGCACTCCCTTCAAAAACCGGAACAATGACAGTATCATTGCAGCTCATCCCCCAGCGTGGATCGATTGTTATATTTGTTGTCACATAGAACAGGTTGGAGTTAGTACTGTTTACGTCACAGTCATACTTACTAGAATTGCCTAAAATAGGTACTGAGTTGTAAGTACAACCATAGAACAATGTCAGGTTCCGAAGCCCAAAAGCATAGCTGAAGACCGTGGACTCGAGGCTTGTGTTAACCAAACGTGTAGGACATATGTTGTTCCAGAAATCATCTCTAACGACTATGAGGTTATGTAATTGGGAAGCGATAGCGAGAACTCGATACTTTTCTGACGTGACAGTGATCAGGGGTACGTTATCATGACACTCGAGCTCAAATCCTGGTTTTTCACAGTAATTTGTACGATTCGCTCCCCAGAAGGGATATTTGATGCTGCTGATGCCTCCACATGAAAAATTTTCCCCACAGTTTTCGTATCGGGCTTCGTTAGTGCATAGAAACGTCGGGGTTATCATAGAAATCAATATGATTGTCAGGATGAAGTGAAGGCAAGATGGTGAAGGAAAGAAGTGCATTTTGAGGAATGTTCAGATCCTGATAGAATGAAAATTGAGCTGACAGACGAAATGAGGCAACTTTGCAAAAATTTTGGGTATCTTTGGAGATGGACGTTGAAAAGTAGTATTGAAAAACGTATTTCTGATAACAATTTTTAAAAAGTATGTTCCGGTGTCTAGGACATTTGGGAGTGCCGGCCAATCAGAATACAAAAAAAATAATGATAGATTGACTTAAAAATTAGATTCGATAATCTCAATAACTGAATAGATAATGAGTCCGAATAAATACTGAGATCCACAGTGAAATCAATAATTGTAATTATAAAATCTAATTTTTAAGTTTAATTTTTAAGTCCACGTAATACTCGTAAATTCTCGAATTATTATTTATTGTATTCTTGGGTTTGGTTATTTTTAGATTCATATCAAAGTAATAGTCAACCTCAATACACTATTTCCATGTAGCATTTGTGTCGTATTGTCATGAGTCGTGAGCATGATTTGTTGAACAAAAATGTTGATAATTCTCAAACAGACTGTATTTAGTATTTGCTACTGCAAAGCTAGTTGGCTAGCCCACGGTCCATACTTCAATCTAGGTCAACAACTGTAAGTTTGTTGGATAATCCACTAAAGACCCATCAAGACCGGCCCAGCTGGGGAAACTGACATAGCAAGTTCCCCAAGCGCTATACCATCCAAGGAACTCCAAATTATAAACATAATCCTAAATCACTGACAATCAAGCTAACCTTAAGTTACAACTGTAAGCTCATATTTTAACCCTAATTAATTAACATTGGGCCTATTTGGAGCTCACTTTGTTGGGTGCGACACAGAAGTGTGAAAAAACAAATGAAATAGTCAAAGTTAAAAAAAATTTAAAATCATTTATAAGGTTTCTAAAAAAATTGATTTTTCTTTCGTATCCCATTTTCAATTTTTCATTGGTGTTCATAAAAGATATTTTTGCCCAAAAAACTTATGGAAATGTAGCTAATCAGCCCAGGTCCAAAGGGATCATGTTTCTTTTTCTCTGAAATATAACATTAAAATTTAAGGTTTTAAGTCAGTTTCAAACAAGTCCATTATGTTTTTTTTTTAAATATTTTAGAATATTTAAATGTACTTTGGTTGGTTCTAATTTAAAAATTCTCTAATACAAATATTCAACCGATCCAATTTTACCATTAATATTTTTTGGTAGGTAAGTCATTCTTAATGAAGGTTTGCTTTATTTATAAATACTAGTTGACTATGTCCACTCAGTTGCACCTTGTATTCACGAAAATGTCGTATTATGTACTTAATATTACGTATCAAATCGACCCACTATTTGAGTAAAGTTGTTTAAGAAGGTCCGACCACAAAAACCTCATGTCCACCCCAAATCCGTTTGGATTCTAATATCTATTCCTATCCCATCCCACTCTAATAATGGTGAAACAAATCAGCTACCTCCTTCAACCCTGCCCATTATCATCCCTAGTTTTCCTCTTCCCTTTCCTACACTTCCATGTTACTCTTTTAAGCTAATCTATCAGAATCAGACCGCAACCAAAGAATAAAACAACACACCTAAAATTACTCGATTAAGTTTTCAAGCACTACAAACAATAGGTAAAACTAGCAAAAGTAGCTAATCACCACTCTATCCCCCTCCAAGCTAGAAAGCATCATATCTGCAAGGCCTCTCGTTTCATAATGTAAATCAAACAACAAAACGGAGCAAACCAAGTGACCTGGAAAAAGATACCCAGTGCTAACATCAAATTTGAAGTCATATCACTTGCTACAAGAAAAATTCTGGGTTCTCGGGTCCAGAATTTTTCATCTAATAGAAGGGAGTACATACCTGGCGGTGTGGGCATGGACCCCGGGGAGGATCCGTCAGCAGTTTTGCAGCTACTAGCCACATAAGGCGAGTTGAGGCAAAAACAAATGGTTTGACTGGTAGGAAAATCATATCCACACCGTCCCTTGGACCCGGTGCACTCACTGCAGGCTTTGCTATCCACCGTCCATCTAACTTCAAATCCTTCCTGAAGAACGTGGTTCAAACTAGTTAAATTTATGGATAATCCTGGACCCGTTTGGAGAACTGGGACAATGACACTGGTATTACAGCTTCCAGGGCCTAGAGTTCCAGGGAATACATAGACATTATTGTTCCGACAAGAAAGAAGGCTACGACCAGAAATATTCGATGAAGGAGGACAACCATAGAGAAATGTGAGGTTCATATAAGTATTGGCGTAATCAAAGAGGGAGTAATCGAGGGTTGTGTTTACTAAATCACGTGGACAGCTTGTCTGCATCAGATCCTCCCGAACAATCTTCATAACTTGTGTATCCTCATAGATATCCAAGATGCTGTAACTTATGTTCATAATAGCAATAGTGGTGACATTTTCCTGATCACAATTGAGCACAAAACCAGGATAGCCACAATATTCAGGATCTCCATTTCCGCGAAAAGGATATCCCACTCCGGTGATGGTTCCACAATTGAACGTATTGCCACAGCTCAAGTACCACTGATCGGAGTTACACGAAACTCGCGGAACCTGAATCACCACCAAGAGATTCAAGATGAAAAACAGAGAGAAGAAAGAAAACCATGAAAAGATTTGGGAATTCATTGGAAGAAATTATGGTGAAGAGAAAGGTGTGGAAGATAGTATTGAAGAGTAATGGTTAGAGTGGTGGTTGGATAGAAAATAGAAGTTGGTGACAAAAGACTCAGCTTGCTGACAATACACACAATTCTTTTATTGGAGCTGGCATAGAAAATTGAATGAAATGATCGAAGGGAAGACTTTGAGAGCACTTGACTGATTTTGTCTCTACTTCAGAACTCCTTGAAGCAAGCCAAACCATAAAAAAGAACAGGGTAGCAAAATATCAAACTAATTGAAACAGAGAAGAAAGAGGGGGCCGGGGGGAAATGAGTTGACCGTTAAATTTTCTACGATAAAAAAGAAAAAAAGCTCTGAACTAACCCTCAATCTCACTTCACCCCTGTACTTTTAGAGATTTCACTATACCCCTCCAACTGACGAAAAAACTACAAATATTAATAATGGTAACAGTGAAATCGAGGTTTAGTAAATAAGAATTTTTGTATTTTACCCAATTTTCTATTGTGGCTGCACATCGGAAGGATTTGAGAGCAATTTAATGTGAGAAAATCAGGTGACAATCAGAGGCTGTTCAACAGTATTAAAAAAAGCTTGGATTTTAGGCCCAAATTTTGAGAAGGTTCCATAATTTTAGATATATTGCTAATATAGAAAAAATTTAAATCCTTTAAATTTTAAATCCTAACAAAAAGGCTCCAAAAATTAAGTACAGTCAAAATTTTTATTGTAATAATTTGGAATTATGATTCAATTCATAATATTAAAAATCTAAAAAATAAATATAAAAATAAATAAAAAATATTCAAAAGTCAACTCATATTTTCTTCTACTCATTCTCTCTCTATAAAAATGAGTAAAAAAAATTAAAAAAAAAGTTAAAATTAAACTCTCTCTCCGGTAAAAAAACAAAACAAAAGTTAAACATTTTTTTCGGTAATACTAGCACATTCTTTTTCTGTCTCTCTCTCACTTAATAAATTAAAAAAACATTAATTTTTTTAAAAAATTAATATTAAAAATAAAAAAGACTCTCATTTAGTGTATTCGCTTTAAGTCTTAAATTTCTTTGATCCACTCCTGATGACAATTTTTTTTCTTCTTAGACCAAATGTTACTACTATCTATATGGAGTAATATTACAACTAACATGTGATATCAAAGCACGATATTATGAATCACGTGTGCAAGGTGTACGCACAAATATGTAATAAACAATATTCAATAACTAGTAAATATGGATATCTGAACATTTACTCAAAGGAAAGAAGGTTTATAACCATAACTCTAAAAATAAATAAAAAATTAACAATCTATAATTAAAATTATTGAACATTTGCACATGCAAGCTTGTGTAATGTGATTTGACGGTGGGAAGTTTTGACTTCTTTTTTTTTTCGATTCGGCCGTAAAAGACAATGACATGGACAATTTAAGACAGTCAATAAAGGCGAGAAGATGATAGAGTTAAAAATTTATTTTAGAGGCATTGGAGCATCTTTAATTTGATTTAAATTTTTATAAAAATTTATTTAAAAAACTTGATTTAATCCAAAAGATTTTAATAGATAAATTCAAACTTAAAAAAGAATAAATTTAAATTTAAAGATGGGTGAAATATGACTATTGAATTTTTAAAAGAAAATAAAATCTGACTGTTAGCGATTTGAGTAAAAGTTTTAAGTCCCCCTTAATTTTGATAAAATTTTGAGTCTCTTGATTTCGAATGAGATTGGGTATAATATTGGAGAAAGTTTTTAGAGTTTTTTTTTTATCCAAATTTAAATTTTGATTTAAAAAAAGTAAGGGAGACTTAAATATTTATTTAAATTAAGAAAAACTCAAATATTTACTTAAATCACTAATGTCTAGTGTACGTATATGGGGACTTAAAAGAAGTTGACAAACATGTCTCTGCTAAGGATAATCGAAGAAAATAAGTAGAATAAATGGATAGAATAGAAGGAACTTAAGCATTGTATCAAACTCGTAGCTTACATTTTTTGTTGTTAGTATGGGCCGGGCCTAAAGTCGAAAACATGAACCAATTGGCCGGCTCAGGGCGATTGGCTAGACCATTTGGCCCAGATTCAGCCCTTGAACCAGGCCCATGGAGTAGGACATCTGGTCCAGGTGTTGCCAGAACCCCAAATTTTTGCTGGGCCGGGCAGGGCAGGCTACCCCTTCTTGTACTTGGCCACTTGAAATGTCTTGTTCTTGTTTTCCTCGAGGCGTAGGGAAAGTATATCATGAATAATAAGCTAATGATAGTTCAAAATTTTTTTCGGGTCAGCTACTCTTATTTTTTAAGAGATATATCGTTAAACTAATTTGAATCACAGTGGTCAGCTCAGATTCCAAAAATCACACAACTGTATGATCTTTCGTACCTCGTCCTCTTGATCTTCGTCTGCAGAGAAGGGATGACCCACAAATCCAGTCATCCTTTTAACATTGAATGAACTTTCCTTCTTCAAGCCCTCAGACGTAGTGAGCAGTATCCTCTCAGGCCATTTCAAGCTTGCATTCCAGTAACCCAAAACATGGTCCATGTAATGAAATCCCCATACAGAACAATTCAAAGGCTTTCTCCAAAGGAAATTCTCCCTTGTCAATGCCATTCACATTGCCCACAAATGCCACAAGGAAACAAACACATCCTTCAGGTCTCGCAAATGTGAAAAAAGCGTAAAGGGAGTAACCAGTGCACAAGACTTCTCTCATTGTAGAATCTGCGGAGGGTTATATATACGGAACCTTACTCTGCAAACAGAGAGGCTGTCTTGACAAATGTAAACAAGTTTACAATTTGAACATGTTGTGGATTCGGGAAGTGAATTGAATGAAAGGTGAGCCACCAAGAGGGGAATTCTGGGGTACCAGATTGTTTTGTTTTGGTAAAGATCTACCTCCAAGTAGGGGTGTTCAAATGTGTGGGTTACATGATTTGTGGTAAATTGGTAATTTATTGGAGCAGTTATGATTTTAATGTATTTCATATGGTTTAAACTTTAAACTTAAAATAATTGTTATTGTATTTGTGTAGTAATTATGATGGATTGATGCTCATACTTTCTTGTATTTTGTTGTAATTGTTGTTGTAGTTGTTTTAGATTTTAGTGTTTTTGATTTATTATGTTGTTAAATTGGTGCATGTTATTTAATTGAATTATTAAAATGATCTAAAAATTAATAGTTACAAAAGTATTTACCTGACTTCCTATCCGATTAATCGAATAGAAAGTTGGATAGAAATACCACACCTAATCGGATAGGGTAACCAAAAAAAAATTCTTCTACAAAATATTAGATAGGAAAACGAAAGACTATGGCGGTGTTTGTGTTTTTTTCTGTTTTTGTTTTCACTTTTTGCTAAAACAAAAAATACTAACGTGTTTGAAGAGTGTTTTTATTTTTTTTTGGGTTGGTCTATTTTGTAAACAATCCCAAATTTTAAAAATATTTAAAGAGGTGTTTTTGAAAACACAAAAAAATGAAACACACGCACCCCTTTAAACTATTTAAAAAGGTCTAGCCTTTGAACTCCATTTGCAGCAAAACAAAGGACTTTTTTCATTCCCACTATAAAAGCATTTCGTACCCCTTTTTCCATTTCCCTCGTTCATCTCTCTCACGCTCTCGTTCATCTCTCTCACAGGCAACGACAAAGAGCTACGAAGGAGGAAAAAGCTGACACACACACACACTTTCTCTTTCTCTCTCTCTCTCTTTATATATATATATATCACCCTTCTCTGATGGGTTTTGCTGGGGAGTTTCATGGTTGGGTTTTGTGGGTGGTCGTGGGGGTGGATTGGGAGAGAGTTTTGGTGGTTGTGGCCCTGTGGGGATAGATTGGGGGTGGATTTCGGTTGATTTTAGTGGTAGATTGGGGGTGGGTTGTGGGTTTCGATGGTGGTGGGGGTGGATTTCGGTGGTTATAGGGGTGGATTGGGGTGGGTTTCAAACTTTCAGTGGTGGGGTTGGGTGGTGGGTTTCCATGCGAGGTTGGGTGGTGGTTTTGGGTAGGGGTCTCAATCAATTTTGGTGAGATACACCCCGTCAATGGTTTAACGAATAGAGATTGAAATCGAAGAAAATCAATTAGAATTAATCTAATTGATCATGTTTCATTGCTTCGCAAGCTTATCTAATTCTTTCCTTTTTTCATAGATCATGGTTTCTTGACACAGCAAAAGGATAATGAAACAGAGGAAGAGGTGGGTGGTGGCGTTCGATGAAACTGACATTTGGGGTTGGGTGATGGTGTTCGATGGTGGGGTTGGGTGGTGGTTTTGGGAAGTCAATAGGGTTGGTTGTGTGGTTTGGGTGATGAATTTTTGGTATATTTTATTTTTGTTTTTATAATTTTTTAAATATAAAATGACTACCACACGTGTTTTATATTTTTAATTTTTATTACAAAAAAAATAAAACTTAGTTCTGTTTTTTTTAATAAAAGAAAATATAAAAACAAAAATATTACCAAAGACATCTTATATTTTTTGCTTGTAGGGTACGGTGAACACCCTTCCGCCAAGAAAGGAACACAATCAAGGGGAACATTGAGAAGCAAAGGATTTGTTGAATCATCTAAACAAGCTCTCTTCATTATTGAAAAGCTTAAAGCCTCGAGCCATGTGGTACCAGTTCCTGGAGCACTGAACAAGATGATATCATTGGGCTGTGCCTTGAAGTTTTCTTGAGCTAATATGACTCCTCCTAGGAATCTGGAAGTGTACCAAAAGCCTTGGTACTTGAAAAGATCAGAAAAGGCTGTCCATTCACTATTCTTAGGAGCTGTTGAAATTATTTCTCTGAACTTTTCCTGGGTTTTTTCTGGTTCTTTACAACCTTTGTAACTAAAGGAGGATTTATTTGGATGATTCATGCTTGAATTCAATTTCTTGTGCATTTGGGGAGGTGAGTGAGTCTTTTCTTCATAAATAACTTCAAGAAATTTGGTAGCAGTGTGTGATTCATATGAAACAATCTTCTTAGTGGAGAGTAATGGAGATTATGGTTACCAACAAAAGGTGTTACGAGAGAATTTTTCACATAAGGATATGATAGTCTGCCATAATTTGAATCAATTTATGAACACTTTACCACCTATAACTGAAAAATTAAAACTCTTAAAGGTAATTTCAGTTAGGAGATGATATAGGTTCTGAGGTAGGATTCATGTTCATTTGGGTTGTGACATGTTTTACGAGGATAGTCAACTTCCTCATACAATCCTTTTTTCTTTATCCGGGCTTGGGAACAGTTGTGTAAAACTTAAAAAACTAATAATAGACAATCGAAGTTATCTTAGACCTCATTCAAAAAGAGTATTAGCCGAAAGACATAGTGACACAACATAAGATATTCTGAGAAATAAAGGTATAGTAGTTGATTATAACTTAAATCAATTTATGAACAGTTTATACATGTAACTGAATAATTAAAAACTCTTAAAGGTGGATATTAAGAGGAGATGTAAATTTTGAAAAAGAGAAAACGGAACAAGAAGCCGATGGATAACCATTGCTTTGTTTATGAAGTTACCGCAACATGCGTACGAAAATATCTTCCTTGATGTTTCTGCAACATCTCCCTCTCTTTTTCCTCCTCTTGTTTTTATCACTCTTTCTTTCTCCTCCCTTCAATGAAGTTTCAAGCCACTGAACTTCCATTGATGAAAAACCAGACAGGAAGGTCGAAGAACCCAAAGATAGCTCCACTGATAGCACCATCATCCCCATCTATTACCCTTCATTACGGTACTCTCATAAAAGAATATTGGAATCATCGTCTTCATATCATTCTCTTGAGGATTCAATAAGACCGACTGCTATTTCAGACCCACTTTCACGCAATCACTTGCAGCAGAAAGATAGTGAACCAAGTCTCTTTAAAAATGAGGACAAACAAGCCTGCCATGGCCGCCACTACTCAGTGGCTCCGAAAGAAGGAGAAAGAAACGTCGAGAGACCACACGAACTAGAAGAAGATGCGGAAAGATCATGTTCCGTTTGATCATGGCAAACAAAGATTCAAAAATATTACTGGTACCGATTTGGGGACTAATAATCCCGTGCTAATTGGAACTTACACATAACCTAATGGCTATAATAAGTTATACCTTCAAATTTAGTCATCAAATTAGGTCCACATGTAACATTGTTCTAAGAGATTATAGTGCTCAAGTACTCTGAAAAAGTTCCATCAATCAAGAATTTGTGAAGTTGAACTCAATACAGAATTAAATCCCCTAGATTTCCACAATTATAATCTCTAATTGCACAAGATACAAACAACTGTAATCAGATCATAACTCTATCAAAAATATGGAAGACAAGTTTTGCCTTGTAGATTCAGAAACTATACCAAAGCAGAATATTTGCTTAGTTACTATTGGGGTGGGTTTAGAAGGGATGAAGTTAATAATTTGATAATGAAAAATTAAATGGGGGTGTAAATGAAAATTTGTAGGGTGGGAATAGCTCCACCCTTATAATATTTACATAACACAACAAGGATTTAATATTTCAAATGTTAAGGGTCTAAGTGATTAAGAAACAAATCTTAGGGGAATCCGAGTATAATCTCCTTTAATTTTTTCTGCACAAAGTTTTATTTTTTGAAATTAATTACACTGAAAGTCCTTCAAATATGAGGTTTGTCTCATTTTGGTCCATAATATTTTAATTATATTATTTTTGGTATCACAAGTATTAGATATGTTTTTATGTAGTCTCTCAAGTAAACAACATTCAAATTTTTAACTGTTTTTAATAATAAACTTGTTATGTAGTACCTAAATATAGGCAAAAAAAAATTATTTAGGCAGCTTCTGACAAAAAATGTATAAATTAGAAATAGGGAGTATCATTGAATATATGGCTAACTAGAGGGAGTATGGATGAAGTTTACCTTTTTCTTTTTAGACGGGTCGGGTTAGCTTACGCTTACCTCAACTAATTTATTTCTTAGTTTGATCATAAACGGGTCATATCCACCTAGGGGTGCAACTCAAGCAGGCCAATCGAAATTCAACTCGAACCCAACCCGAGAAAAATACGGCTTGGGTTGAGATTTTTTAATATTTGGGTTGAGCCGGGACAAAAAAATATCAACTCGAATTGAATTTGGATAATACTCAGTTGAGGTCTTGGGTTACCAAATATAGAAATCAGACTCAACCCGAGCATATTTAAAAATAAATATATAAATCAATATAGCAGTATAACTTACAAGTTAAAACATTAGATATCAGTCTTCTGTTAAATATTTGGTTATTATGTCTTTATATTAAATATTGATTTTTATGTTTTAAATGTTATGGTTTTTATATTAAATATTTGATTGAACTTGTTGGATGGAGCTTGAATGAATCCAACTTGAATTCTAACATGAAATCAATCCAAATTACGTAACTTGAACCTAATTCGAAATTCGAATTACATAATTCAAATTTAATCTAAGCCCATCCGAATTAAAATTTGATAATAATTAGGTTGAGTACCTCGAATTGAGATTGAGTTAAAATTAAATTTAGAATTATATATCTAAAATTAGACCAACGCGACCATATTCAACCCTCCAAGTTAGCACCGTTATATCCATCCCAAGTGATCTATCCCACGACTAAGATGCTCGTGAGTAAGAAATTTTCTATGAAAATTATCAAAATTTCGTCCTCCTTACACTTGAACCTATACTTCAAGATTCTATCTGTTTTTTATTTTTCTTTTTCGATCAGGGCTTTCATGAGTTGATTGTTGCAAAGATGCACTACTTCTACATGATTCCAGATACTACTGCTGCATAACCGACTTAATAAAAATTACAAATTATATCTTTAACAAAATCCACCCCACGCTACCCATCGCAAACCACCGGCAGCAAACCTTCCTCATCGCCATCATAGCACAAAGCAGCAGATCTGACTACCACTGGTGTCTTCTCCATCATCGACCTTGCAAAGGCCGCATCTTTTGGCCTGTCAACTTATTAATAGATGGAGAGAGAAAGGGGAGGTAGGGTGTCGCGTGGGATGCTTCCACTGCTGGCTCTGCATGCTGTGAGTGAGTATTGCAGGCTTGACAGAAAATCGCCGGTTACGGCCGGACTTCTTGCTGCTAACACTCTGATTTATTTGAGGCACAGTTTTCTCGAATCTATTCTCCCTACCCTGGATGTCTCAAAAAAAAAAACTTAACAGTTCAATTTAAGTAAGAAAATGAACTGTTTCAGAAATAAATAAATGGGAGAAGGAAGAAATTTTATTTGAACACAAGAAAACAAATAATGTTGTTGAAGTGATAAAAAATTTGGAGTTACAGGACTCTAATTTATAGAAGTTGCTTTCTACAAATACTCAACTAATTTGGACTCAATCATAATAACAAACTCCTAGAATATCTCAACAATTTGATGATGACTTATTTCAACATAATAGACTAAGACTCAATCAACAAAGCAGACTCCTAAATAAATTCAACTACTCCTAAAAAATAGGCCAGTAAGATGCACTAAACTTTGACACTCCCCCTTAGTGCATGCTTACGATCAATAATACCAAGATCATGTTGGGATTTAACTTGATTTAAATCCACTAACAAACACACACAATCGAAGAACAAATCAAGAATATAAAGCAATAAGAAACAAGAAAGAACAAGACAGATTTTACGTGGTTCGGCAATTTGCCTACGTCCACGAAGCTGCAGGGATTTCACTATTGAGAGAGTTGAATTACAGAGAGCGGCTGTACAATCCACAACAAACCCTAATCACCAAAACAACAGGGTTTATATGTCCTATGCACTGAGCTGTATATCGGCCCAAGCCTTCGCTCCATGGACTAAGCCTCAGCAAATTTTCAATTAAAAACCACACAACATTATTTCGGGTCAGGTCATCGTCCGAATCACATATACAAACTAGACTCCATATAAAAAAACCAACAGGTCACTTCGAAATTTATCAAACGTAGCTCTAGCAAGTAGGGTTGTTAATCAAATTGAACTACTCGAACTTGAACAAGTTGTTAGGCTTGTTTAGAAAACAAGCCCTACAAGCTCGGCTCAAATTCGACAGGTTTGGCTTGTTTATGTGCAAATACTCGGGCTCAGCTCGAACTCGATTCGGGTTCAGCTCATTCAGGCTCGGCTCGTTTCCTTAACGAGTCGAATTTGAACAATTTTTAAAGCTCAATTAAGAAACAAGCTTTTCAAATTTGGCTCGAACTTGACTTGGGCTCGTTCGCCTAACAGTCTTACTAGCAAGAGCTTTAGTAAAAATATTTGCAACTTGGTCCTTGTTGCATATGTACTCCAACTTAATCTCTTGACTCAATACTTTCTCTCAAACAAAATGCTGATGAACTTCAATGTGTTTTGTGCGAGCATGAAAAATTGGGTTTCCGGCAAGTTTGATTGCACTTTCATTATCATATTTAATGGGGATTGAATACTCCAATGTAGCAGTTATGTCTTGAATTAATCGCTTAAGCCAGATGCGCTCTTGAGATGCCATGGTTGCTGCCATATATTCCGCTTCTATACTTGAAATAACAACTGTATTCTGCTTTTTACTACACCATGAGACGACGGCTGAAACTATGCTGAAGCAATAACCCGTAGTTGATTGTCTGTCATGTACATCTCCAGCCCAATCTGCATCAACAAACCCCTGTAGAGAAAACTGAACATCCTGC